CTCCATAGTGCATATATACAATATATGTATATGGACAGCTGGGTTGATTCCACATCTTAGCTATTGTAAATTGGTCTGCAATGAACTTGGGGGTACAGGTATCTCTTTCATGTACTAATCTTTTGATTTGGTTAAATTTCAGGCATGAAATGGCAGGATAATACGGAAGGTCTATACTCAGGTTTCTGAGTTATCTCCATACTGTCTTCCACAGTGGTTGCACCAGTTTACATTCCCATGAGCAGTGGATCAGAGTACCTTTTTTGCCACATCCTTGCCAGCATTTGTTGATTATTGTTTTCTGTATGAGAGGCATTCTAACTGGAGTGAGACCAACTTCATTGTGCTTTTGATTTGCATTTCCCTGATGGTTGTGAACCTGAGCATTTTCCCAAGTGTCTCTTTCCCATATAAATTTCCTCTCTTGAAAAACACCTGTGTATGTTCCTTGCCCATTTCTTTATTGGATTGTTTATTGTGTTGTTGTTGAATTCCTTGAGCTCTTTATATAATCTGGATGTTACCCTTTATCAGTTGCACAGTTTGCAAATATTTTCTCCCATTCTGTCAACTGCCTCTTCATTTTGCTGAGTACTCCTTTGCAGAGCAGAAGCTTTTCAGCTAGATTAATCCTATTTGTTGATTTTGGTTTAGATTGCCTGTGCTTCTGGGGTCTATCCAAGAAGTCTTTGCCTATGCCAATGATTTGCAGAGTTTACTCACTGTTCAATAATAATTTGATGATATTGGGTCATAGATTTAATTCCTTTATCCATTTTGAGTGGATTTTTGTGTAGGGCATAAATTAGGAGTCCAATTTCCTACTTCTGCACTTGGAGGTCCAGTTTTTCCAGCATCATTTGTTAAAGAGACTGTCCCTGTACATGGATTGATTTTGCTATTTTATTAAACCTAATAACATCACAGCTTTCTGTAGACACATGGATTGAATTTGGGAGTTTCTATTCTGTCCCATTAATCTATACTTCTGTTTTTCTCCCAGTACCAGGCTATATTGATTATCCTGTAGTTTGTTTTGAAATCTAGAATTGTGAGGTCTCTAGCTTTGTTTTTGTTGTACAAGATTGCTTTAGCTATCCAGGTTCTCTTGTGTTTCCATATGAATTCTAGCATCATTTTTTTCTGGATCTGAAAAGAATGTCATTGAAATTTTGATTGATATCTTATTGAATCTCTAAATTGATTTTGTAAGTATGGATATTTTGGTGATGTTGATTCTTCCAATCCATGAATATGGGAGATTTTTCCATTTTTAATGTCTTCTTCTATTTCTTTCTTTAGTGTTTTATAATTTTCATCATAGTAATCTTTGAATTCCTTGGTTAAGTTTATTCCAAGATATTTGATAAATTTGATTCTTTATGGAGCTACTGTGAATGGCACTGATCTCATAAGTTCTTTTTCAGCCATGGCATTGTCTGTGCATACAAAGGCTCTTGATTTTTCTGTGTTGATTTCATATAGCACCGCTTTACCAGCTCTTTTATGAGTTCCAATAGTCTGAGTGAAGATTTTTGGATCTTCTAAGTATAGGATCATGTCATCTGCAAATAAGAATAAAATAAGAATAACTTGAGTTCCTCTTTTCTAATTTCTACCCTTTTGATTTTTTTTCTTGTCTGATGGCTCTAATTAAAACCTCCAGAACTATATTAAATAACAATAGTGAAGGCCGGCGCAGTGGCTCACTAGGCTAATCCCCCACGTGCAGCTCTGGCTCCCTGGGTTCTAGTCCCGGTTGGGGCACCAGATTCTGTCCTGGTTGCTCTTCTTCCAGTCCAGCTCTCTACTGTGACCCGGGAGTGCAGTGGAGGATGGCCCAAGTGCTTGGGCCCTGCACCTGCATGGGAGACCAGGAGAAGCACCTGCTCCTGGCTTCAGATCAGCGTGGTGCACTGGCCACAGTGGCCACTGGGGGGTGAACCAAGGAAAGGAAGACCTTTCTCTCTGTCTCTCTGTCTCTCTCACTTACTCTGCCTGCAAAAAAAAAAAAAAAAAAAGAGTCGACATCCTTTTCTGGTGTCAGTTCTGGGGGGTGGGATGTTGACAGTTTTTCTCCATTCAATAGGATGCTTGCCATGGGTTTGTCTTATGTTGCCTTGATTGTGCTGAAAAAGGTTCCTTCTATACCCATTGTTCTTGAGGTTTTCAATCATAAAAGATGTTGTATTTTATCAGACGCTTTCTCTGAAACTATTGATATTATCATATGATTTTTATTCTTATTATTTGTGAATGTGGTTTATCACATTGATTGATTTGTGAATATTGAACTATCGCTGCCTTCCGGGGACAAATCCCATGGGGTCAGGGTGCATTATCTTTGTGATGTGTTGCTGGGTTCGACTAGCTAATATTTTGTTGAGGAGTTTTGTGTCTACGTTCATGAGAGAAATTGTTCTATAGTTCTCTTTGTTGCATATAGTTTCCAGGTTAAGTATTAGGATAATGCAGGCTTTGTAGAAGCAGTTTGGGAGGATTGCCACCCTTTCAATTGTTTTGAATAGCTTGGGAAGAATTTAAATTAATTTAGTCCCTGCATCCAATGGCGCGGCCTCCTCTGGGCGCCGGCCCCGCCCCCGAACCTGTCACTCAAATCTCTGCAGCCAATGGCACAGCTGCCTGTCACTCACACTCCCAGCGCCCGCCTCCAGAACTGTCACTCAAGCCCCTTCAGGCGATAGTGTAGCCGTCAGTCACTCCCAGCCGCTGCGCCCGCCCCCTGACCCGTCCAGCCCCTCCGACCGATACCCCGGGGCCTGCGCACTGTCCCCACCTCTTCCCTGTCACTCAAGTCCCTCCAGCCAATGGCACAGCCGTCTGTCACTCACACTCCCTGCGCCAGCCCCTGCCTGTCAATCAAGCTTCTCCAGACAATGCCCCTGCGCGTTTGTCCCGCCTTCGGCTGTCACTCAAGCCCCTCTGGCCAATGCCTTGGCCCCTGTATTCTTTTCCCGCCCCTGATGTCATTCAAGTATCTCCAGTCAATGCTGCGGACCTTACGCTGGTCCCGCCCAGGAATTAGATTGACAGCCCCTCCAGCCAATGTCCCGGAACCCTGGCGCGGGCCCGCCCCCAGCGCAGACGGACCACCGTGCCCATCATGGCTGCCAGCGCGGTGCTGGCGATGTATGCGGTGCTGGCCGCCGGCGCGGGTCCCGGGGCGGTAGGCGCGGGGTCGCTGCGGGCCGGGGGCGTCCAGGGCTCGCGCTGCGCGGCCCGGTGCCTGAGTCTGCGGCTGTTGCAGGTACGCGGGGCCCCGCCAGGGGGGTGCGCGACGCGGAAATCCGCCCGGAACGCGATCGCGGGGCTCCCCCGGCGCCCCCAGACCCCCAGGGACCCCCGCGGGTCTTTCTACCAGCGGCGTTCCAAACGTGCCCGGCCGTCGGCCGTCGGTGTCCCCTTAGAGGAGCCCCGGCCCCCAACCTGGAGGCTTCCAGACGCGAAAATGCGCCAGGGACTCGATCTCGGGGCTCCTCCAGCGCCCCCAGAACCCCAGGGACCCCCGCGGGTCTTCTTCAACCAGCGGCGTTGCAAAAGTGCCCGGGTGTCGGCCGTCGGCCATCTGTGTCATCTCAGAGGAGTCTCAGCCCCCAACCAGGGGATTCCCAACGCGAAAATCCTCCCGGGACGCGATCGCGGGACTCCCCCAGCGCCCCAGACCCCCACGGAACCCAGAAACCCTCAGGGACCCCCGCGGGTTTCCTTAAACCAGCGGCGTTGCAAAAGTGTCCTGGCGTCGGCCATCTGTGTCCCCCTCAGAGGAGCCCTGGCCCCCAACCAGGGGATTCCAGAGGCAGAAATCGGCCAGGACTCGGTCTCGCGGTTCCCCTGGTGCCCCCAGACGCCCACAGACCTCCGAGACCCCCACGGATCCCCGGAGATCCCCATGGGTCTCAGTAAACCGGCGGTGTTGCAAAGGTGCCCGGGCGTCGGCCTTGGTGTCCCCCTAGAGAAGACCTGGCTTTCACCAAGGGGGGGATCCCGACATGGAAATCAGGCCAGGACGTGATTGCGGGGCTCCCCCTGCGCCTGGAACCCTCCAGGTCCTCAGGGACCCCCACGGATCCCCAAGACTCCCGTAAACCGGCGTCATTGCAAAAGTGCCCTGGCATTGGCCCTTGGTATCCCCTTAGAGGTGTACTGGAGGTGAAAATCTGCCCTAAAGGCTATTGCTGGGCTCCTCCAGACCCCCAAGGCTCCACAGAGACCCCCAGCGACCCCTGAGACCCCTGGGCAGCAGCAGCTTTGAAAAAGTGCCCGGGCCTCGGCCATCGCTGCCCCCCACGCAGGGCCCCCAGAGTCTCCAGGGTTCCAGGCCTTTCTGTGGGGGCTGGGGACCAGGGGCATGGGGAGGCTCTGACTAGAGGAGACTTGAGAACCCCCCTAGGGTCCTAAGGAGATGGGGGGGCGGGTAGAAAATAAAGGAAAAAAATCACTGTAGGGTGCTGTGCCTGGGGGATGTGAATGTGTGTGTCTATTGGTTAATACTTAATGGGGTCCTGAACCTTGGAAAAAAATCACTGTGGGGTGCTGTGCCTGGGGATGGGGGGTGTGAATGTGTGCCTGTTTTTTTTTTTTTCTTCCCCCTCGCAGAACAACGGTTCCCTGGTTTGGTGCCAGAATGACAAGCAGTGTTCGACGGTAGGATTCCTAGACGTGGATGCAATCCATGTATGAAACACACGTGTTGGACACGGGAACTCCACAGGGAGCAGGTGCACAGTTGCCCAGGTTATTGATAGACATTCTAATGTACGATGTCAGGGATCAGCCCAGCATCTTGTCATTGACTCGGGGACCCCGTGCACCTGCTGAAGACGCAAATGGAGTCCCCGGGGACCCCGTGGACCTGCTGGAGACCAGGATGGGGCTCCTGGGAGACCCAGATGGAGTTCCTGGCGCAGGCTCAGGGCCCTGTGTACCTGCTAGAGACCCGACGGAGCTCCTGGGGGCTCCGTGCACCTGCTGGAGACTGGGATGGAGCTCCTGCTGCAGGGACAGGGTCCCGTGAACCTGCTGGAGACCCGGATGGAGCTCTTGGGGATCTGTGCACCTGCTGGGAGACCCGGATGGAGCTCCTAGGGGCCTCGTGCTCCTGCTGGAGACCAGGATGGAGCTCCTGGTGTAGGCTCATGGCCCCGTGCACCTGCTGGAGACCCGGATGAGCTCCTGGTGCAGGCTATGGACCCCGTGCACCTGCTGGAGACCCGGATGGAGCTCCTGGTGCAGGCTCAGGGCCCTGTGTACCTGCTAGAGACCCGATGGAGCTCCTGGGGGCTCCGTGCACCTACTGGAGACTGGGATGGAGCTCCTGCTGCAGGGACAGGGTCCCGTGAACCTGCTGGAGACCCGGATGGAGCACTTGGGGATCTGTGCACCTGCTGGAGACCCGGATGGAGCTCCTGGTGTAGGCTCATGGCCCCGTGCACCTGCTGGAGACCCGGATGAGCTCCTGGTGCAGGCTATGGACCCCGTGCACCTGCTGGAGACCCGGATGGAGTTCTGGGGACACTGTACACTTGCTGAGCGCCGGATGGTACTCCTGGTGCACCTGCTGAGCCCCAGATGGACTCCTGTTGCCATCTGATTAACCTCCTTCTTCTCTCCCAACAGTGTCTGGAGCCCTGCAAGCACCCAGGGGAACTGGAGACACAGCCATGTCAGAGTTTCTGTGAGGTGAGTATGTCGGTTTCTACCCCCCCCCCCCCCCCAGCGGCTGACTGCGGGTTTCAAAGCCTCTCATGGCCAGCTCTGCCGGTTTCAAGGCCCGCCGTCTTTCTCCCCTCCCCCCAGCCGCTGTTCCCTGTGTGGAGCCACGAGTGCCTGAGCAGCTGCACCTTCGTCCGCTCGGCGCTGGCGGCCAAGCAGGGGACGTGTCCGGCCCCTACCCAAGCCAGCGGCTTTGCCGCGGCCTGCGTGGTCAGCTGTGAGGCCGATGCCGAGTGCCCCGGGGGCCGGAAGTGCTGCCCCAACGGCTGTGGGCGCACCTGCCAGGCGCCCCGGGGGGCCTTCCGAGGTCAGCAGGGCTGTCAATCACGGTGGGGGCGGGGCGGGGTTGCTGTGAGCTCCAGGGGTCTCAGGGGTCTCCAGGGGTCTCTGTGACTCCCAGGGGTCTGTGATGGTCCCAGGGGGTCTCTGGGGGTCCCTGGGGTTCTCTGAGGGTCTCTCTGACTCCCAGGGGTCTCTGGGGGTCTGCAAGGGACCCAGGGGTTCTAAGGGATCCCTAGGGGTCTCCGAGGGTCCCAGGAGTTCTCAGGGGTCTCTGTGAGCTCCAGGGGTCTCAGGGGTCCTTGGGGGTCTCTGTGACTCCCAGGGGTCCCCTGGGGTCTCCCTGACCCGGGCTCCTCCACCCTAGGGGTCCCCCTAAAACCCCGGAGGCAGCTACGGCTCAGGGAGCTGGGGTCAGGGCCCCTGGAGGTCCGGTGGTCGTCCAGGTTCAACGTTTCCCTGGAGCCCGTGGTGTACGTGGTGCAGCGCCGGTGGAATTATGGGATGGCGCCCAGTGAGCGTGGGGCCACTGCATGGGAGACAGTGGCCCAGGTCAGTTATTGAAATATTTAGATTGGTGGGAGGGGCCTGGTGGCCATCTTGGGTCCCCATCCATCATTTTTAATTTCCGGTTCACATCTGGGCCATTTTCTGTATCCTCTGTTCCAGACCACAGACCAGCGAGTCTGGCTGCCCGATGTCCGGCCCGGCCGCTGGTACCAGTTCCGAGTGGCCGCCGTCAACGTGCACGGTACCCGGGGCTTCACCACTCCTGGCAGGCACTTCCAGTCATCCAGAGGTCAGTGAAGGGCCCCACCCCTCCAGGCTCCTCCGTGCCTGGTCGATCGGGGGCTCCGTGGCTGTGGCTTCCCCAGCCGTGGCTCCGTGGCCTTGGCCCCTGTGGCTCCCCACACCTGGTCCATGAAGCTCCTGTTGTCCGTGGCCCGCTCCATGACCCTGGCTCCCATGGGGGCCATGGGCCCCCAAACCCGGTCCACCGGAGGCTCCTGTGGCCGTGGCTCCCCCACATCCGGTCCCTGTGGCCATGGCTCCATGGCCCATGCCCACGCTCAGACCAGCCCCCGGGTGGCTTTGTCATGCCTCACAGGCCCCTCTCCACTGGGTTGCAGCTCCGTCGGCCCCACCGGCCCCGGCCGACCTGCGTGTGCTGAACTCCACCGTGCGCGACGCCGACGGGACCGTGGCCGCCACCGTGATCTGGGAGCCCCCCGAGGACCCCGACGTCCCTGTGCACCACTACAGGGTCTCCTGGGGCCACGCGACCGAGGGGCAGTGGCGGAGGAAGACGGTGGACGGGGTGAGCGTGGTGGGGGCGGGGCTGCGGCCCCCTCGCAGGGGTCCCGGTAACCTGAGGGATCCCAGTGATCTTATCCCTGAGATCACTGGGATCCCAGGTAATCTAAGGAATCTCTAAGGAATCCCAGTATTCGGACGGATCCCACTGAGGGATTCATGTAATCTGAGGGACCCCTGGGATCTGAGGGACCTCCCCCCATTCCGCAGCGCCAGAGTTCAGTGACCCTGCAGCGCCTGCGCCCCAGTAGCGTCTACACCGTGCAGCTGCAGGCTGTGAGCCACTGGGGGCCGACGCGGCTGCGGGGCCCCAAAGCTGCCCTGCACTTCACGGCCGCCGGTGGTGAGTGACCTTTCCGGACACCGGAAGTCCTGCCCACTCCCGCTCACGGTGAGTGGCATTTCTGGACACCAGAAATCCTGTCCACGTACTTCTGCTTACGGTGAGTGACGTTTTCTGCAGTAGTCCCGCCCACTCCCGCTCACGGTCAGTGACGGTCCGGACACTGGAAGTCCCACCCACTCACTTCTGCACACTGGAAGTCCCTGTGACACCTCCTGACTCTTTTAGAGCTGTCGTCAGATGTGAATGTCACTCTGATTGACATGTGTCTATTACCTTCACAGATGTATTGTTCCCATAGGGCCCCAGCTCCAGTGCAAGGCATTGACAGAGTCAGCATCACTTGGACTTCCCAGGAACCTTTGCAGTGAGCGCTCCTGTCAATCATGGGTCATCAGCATTTTGAACGGACTTCCCAGAAGCCTTTGCAGTTGGGGCTCCTGTCAATCATACGTCATCATGGAAACGCCAAGAGGACTTCCTAGAAGCCTTTGCAGCAAGTGCTCCTATCAGTCATGTGTCATCTGTGTGCCTAATAGACTTCCCAGAAGCCTTTGCGGTCGAGGCTCCTGTCAATTGGTACACAGTTCCAACTCACACACGCATGACTGCCACACCCATGAACATGCATGTGCGAGCCTGGCTACATACGTGTGCACCCACACGGCAGCCACATGCAGGTCCGGGGTCACAACCTTTGATGGACAGGCGGCTGCATGACCATGTGACTTTTTTTATTTAATTCTCATCCCTCCCAGTTGGGCCATGTGGAAAATTGCAAGATGGCTTTCCTGTCACCCGGTTATTTATTGACTGAAATAAACGTGGTCAGGGGTTTTGGGGGTCTTTCTGTGCGGTGGCCATGTTGTCCTGAGGGTCCGGGCTGCCCCATCCATCAAATCCGGGGGTGGGTGGAACCTTCAGTTTCCTGGAGTTCACCCTTGGGCCCCTAGACTGGGGTTACTGGTTCTGAGCTGCTGCTCCATACTTGCCAAGTCATGTTTCTATACCTGCTAAGTCATGGTTTCATACCTGCCAAGTCATGATTTCTATATCTGCTGTCATGCTGAGTCATGTTTCCATATCTGCTGAGTCATATACTTGCTGAATCACCCTTCCATGCCTGCTGAGTCATGCTTTCCATACATGCTGTCATGTTTCTACACCTGCTGAGTCATGGTTTTACACCTGCCAAGTCATGCAGCTATCAGCTCTTGTGGTGACTCAGCAGAAAGTGCTCAGTGCCAGGGACTGACTCTGCTGTGCAGTGACTGACAGCATGGCTTCTCTGTGACTGACAGCTGCTCCAAGAGACCTGGGGTCTCCACCTGGGCCCCTGAAGATCCTCTGAGGGCCACCCCTGATCCCTGCTCCATTCTGCACAACCAGGGCTGGATTGACGGTTTCCCAGTCCAGTCAGGGGCGGGCTCTGAGGGTGAGTGACAGGTTCCTGGTACAGTTGGGGGCAGGCTCTGAGGCAGACGGACAGGTTCCCAGTTGGTTCATCTGCATCTATAAGGAACACCTGTTGCTTCGTTTGTGATGAACACTTTATGGGAGTCATTGTGGACCCTGAGCCCAGGTTCATGTCTGTGTCAAAGATGGCCGACTGATCCATGGATGGAGCCACAGGTTCATGTCCAGGATAAAGATGGCCGACCGAGCCACACGTGGCCCCAGGACCATGTCCAAGATAAAGATGGCCAACAGCCACGGATGGAGCCAGATTTGTGTGTGTGACAAAGATGGCCAACAGCCATGTTGGGAGTGGCCCCAGCTGCCCAGCAGGTGCATGGCTACGGCCCTGAGGCCCCAGCCGCCCAGAGCTTCAGCCATGGCTTCCAGACCATGTGGGGCCAGCTGGTTGGGGACATTGGACACAGAGCCCCGGTGCTCTGCCACCACCTCTAGGATGGCCCCTAGGATTGCCTGGTGGTGCGGCTCGGTGTGTGGTGTGAGGGGCGCAGCCTCGCCAGGGTCACGGGCCAGGTTGAAGAGCAGGGGTGGGTCATAGCTCGTCATGTGGGTGGGACCCTGGCACAGGCACACGTGGGTGGGGAAGCAGCTGTTGGCGCCAGCTGGGCGGAACTTGGGCGTGAAGAAGGCCTTGAACACGGCTGAGCCTGGGGGCGGATCCAGGCTGTCAGTCATGGGGAGGGATGGGGCTGGGCTGTCAGGGTTGCGGGTGGGGCCAGGTCTGTCAGTCACAGGGAAGGGCTGGGCCAGGACTATCAGTCATGGAGGACCTGTCAATCAACTATGGATGACCTGTCAATCATGGGGATGACCTGTCAATCAATAAATCACGGGGCTGACATCTACCTCTATCCAGCATGCCCCAGGGTCCATGACCGCCCTTCCCAGCATGCCCTGGGATGCACACTCACTGTTGTATGGCAGCCAGCGCACGGCCTGCAGGTAGGCGTTGCAGTAGTGGAACAGGAACTCATGGGCCAACCGCTGGCTCTGCCCCCAGAGGAGGAGCATCAGGTCCCACCCATCAATCACCCTGGGGGAGTGGGGGCTTGTGCGTGACTGACTTTGGGGTCCCTGGGGGAGTCTTCCTTGAATCCCAGGTCCCATATGTCAACCACCCTGGGGGCAGGGCTTGCATCTGTCAATCACCCTGAGAGGAAGGCTTGTGTGAGATTGACTTTGGGGGTCCCATGTCCCATCTGTCAATCACCCTGGGGCAGAGCCTGCATCTGGCAATCACCTGTTGTGGGGCAGCAGCGCCCCTGTGAGCTCAGCCACGGTGGGGAAGATGTCCATGTTGCTTGTGGCCGCATCCACCTCGCATCCGGCAGGGATGACCCCAGGCCAGCACAGAATGCCCAGCACCCAGATGCCGCCCTCCCAGTTGTTGGCTTTGCCACCTGCAGGGGACAGATGGGGGAGAAGGCAGCTGCTGGATCAGCCTTATCCATGGGGTCTCATTATGACATGGTCTGGTTCCATCCTATAGGTTCAATGATTCTATGTTGAACATGACGGACTCTTATTATGACAGAGTTCCCTCTCTGACCTCATAGATGCTATCTGGACCATGGGGGACTTTTATATTGACAGTTTGCTCTAGGAGGTACTCTTATTATGACACAGACCCCTCCATGATGACCCAGAAGCCTGCAGCTCGACCCTGGGGACTTTTATTATGACACGGCCCTCTCCATAACATCTTAGGTTCAATATTGACCAGGAGGGACTTTTATTGTGATAGGATCAGCTCTAGGGGAAACTTTTATTGTGGCATGACTACCCAGATGCCTGTACTTCAACCACCGGGGACTCTTATTATAATAGTGTCCTTTTCATGACATCATAGGTTTGAGCTGGACCATGGGGGAATTTTATGACAGGATCTGCTCTAGGAGGGACTGTTATTATGACACGGTCCTCTCCAGGACAAACCAGATGCCTCCATTTTGACCGTGAGGGACTTTTATTATAACGGGGCCTGCTCTGGCAGAGACACTTATTATGACAGCGTCCCCTCCAGGATGCCCCAGATGTCTCCATTTTGACCATGGGGGCTTTTATTGTGACACGGTCCCCTCCAGGATGCACCTGATGCCTCCCCCTGGGCCTTGGGGGACTCTTATTGTGACACTGTGACCCTGAGACTGGTCTGTACCCCTGCTGACCCCTGTAGATGCCATTGCTGCCCCCGTGGACCTCGCCTGTGGCCATCACCTCCTCCACGTGGGCGCCCTGGTCAGATGAGAAGTAGACGAGGGTGCAGCCAGCCAGGCCCAGCTTGTCCAGGACCTGCAGGATCCTGCCTGGACCAGAAAAAAAACAAATTATCCGGTGCCAACCAGCTCGGGGACCAAGATGGCCTACAGGGACAAATTCACATTGCAATTTGAGATTTGGCCACCTGTGGCGCCAAATTCACGTTGCAATATGAGATTCAGCGCCAGAGACACATGCGCATACCCACGCTCCAGTCTAACTCCTCCACTGTGTCGCCATAAGCCCCATGCCAGCTTCTGTGGGCAAACTCTGGGGAGGCGAACAGGGCTGTGTGCACATGGATATAGGACAGCAGCAGCAGAAAGGGCTTCTGGGAGTTCCTGGAGGGAGGTGGGCAAAAAAAAAAAAAAAAAAAGGGCGAAATACTTGAACAGGTAATTTTTTGGTTCATAGAAGGCAATGCAAAATAGACCGGAAATAGGCAAGAGGGGTTCAGAGTATATCTAAAATGGCTGCAGGAAATGGGTATAAAACATTCACAGCCAATCTGGAATGGCCACTGGAAGTAGATGAAAAAGCATTTAGAGCCGATCCAAAGTGGGCACTGGAAGTAGGCATAAAACGCTCAGACCCTACCCAAAATGGCCACCTGAGGTGGGTGTAAAAGCCCTCAGACCCGACCCAAAATGGCCTCTGAAAGTGAGCTGAAAAGCACTCTGAGCTAATTCAAAATGGCCACCGGAATTGGGTAAAGAAGCTCAGAGCTGATCCAAAATGGTCACTGGAAGTGGGCATACAGCATGCAGATCCACTCAAAATGGCCACCGCGGACTCACCACCGTATGAACCCCGTGGCCTCCTCCGTGAGCCTCTGTGTGAGGTTCCCATAGTCCAGAGGCTGCTGGGCCACTTCGAAGTCGCACATGAGGAAGCAGTGGAGTGGCCAGAAGTAGCGTCGGAACAGGAAATGGCCACCCAGCAAGATGACCACGGGCAGCAGGAGGCCCAGGAAGGCAGCAGGCGGCAGCGGGCCAAGCCGAGGCAGCGCAGGGCGGCCAGGGTCAGAGCAGCGGCACCCAGGGCCTGCATGGGGACCACCACGATCCAGCACACGGCGCCCTCAAACACTGTGCCAGCCCCCAGCTTGCAGTCCCGCAGGTTGGTGGTTGGGAGCCCGAAGAACTGGTCGAAGCCGTGGACCTGCAGGTGGTGGCAGAAGTCGCGCGGGTGCCGGCAGCTCAGGCCCAGGTGCCACTTCCCTGGGACCGGAAGTTCATTGGTGACAGACAGCCTGGTCCCACCCTGAGGCTCAACTTCCTGTCACGTGACTGGAAGTGCCTTCTCCTGCCTTCCCTGTCTGCATTTGACAGGGGTGAGGGCCGGTGATTGACAGCCTAAGCCCACCCCCGATGGCCAACTTCCAGTCACGTGACCGGAATGCCTTCTGCTGCCTTCCCCTGGATGGGGTCCATCCTTGCATGTTGCTGCTACTTGACCGCATTTTGCCTACCTTTTTTATAAACGGAATTCCCGCCTACACCAGAAGTCCCGCCCACTCCAGAAGTCCCACTTCGGAAGTTCTGCCCACCCTGGAAGTCCTGCCCCCGCCCTGGGCATTCCAGAACCTTCTGTACCGACAATCGCTGTGGTGTAGCCGCGGGCTTTGGCCAGCCTAGCGAACGTGACCTCGGTGGCTGGGAGACCCCCAGATGAAGCCGGGAACAGGAAGACACCCACCCGCGACTGCGCAGCCATGCCTGGGGGGTGGGGAAGAGATGAAGCCCCACCTCCTATACCCCTGCCACGCCCCCACCTCAGAGGACAAGGTCAACCCTCCCCGGCCCTTCCCCCACCCCAGGGCAAGCCCCACATTTTCCCAGCCCCACCCCCATGAACCACAGACCTGAGCGCACCGGGTAGTGTCCAGTCAGGCTGCGAGCCTGGTGTGCACAGTGGAGCTGCAGCCAAATGCTGGGTCAGTTTTCACGCCATCACGTGCCAGCTGGTCAATGTTCAGGGTTCTAGAGGGCGGAAGAGACCCAGATGAGCTGTGGAGGCTTCAAGATGGCTAAGGGACCCGGATGACTGTGCTACAAGCTGGCCGCCATGGAGGTACAAGCTGGCCACCTGAGAGACCCAGATGAGCCCCTGAGGCTACAAAATGGCTACCAAGAGACCTGGATGAGCCCTGGAGGCTAGAAGATGGCCGCCTGAGAGACCCAGATGACAGTGTCACAAGATGGCTGCCCGAGAGACCCGGATGTCCGACCTGAGTGTCCTGTTGCCATAGCTGCCGAGGTCACCAATGCCGAGGTCATTGGCCAGAAGCAGGACGCTGTTGGGGGCCGTGGTGGCAGTGTTGGTGTGGCCTTGGCTGGGACCCAGGAAGAGGAGGAGGAGGAGCACAGAGAGACAGCGGTGTCAAGGCTCCCTGCCCCTCTCCGTTTCAAGGCTCACCCTCTTGTCTTCTTCAAAGCTCTCCGCAATGACTTTCACTACAATAAAACAGGGCGTGGCTCTCAGCCTTGAGTGGCGGGCTCTCCATTCCAATGATTGTCAGGAGGAGACAGGGCTTTGAGTTGATTGGCTTTCTGGCTTGCATCAGTGATGGGCGGGTCACTGAGTAGCTATGGACTACTTATTGAGTGCTTATTGTTTAATGACCAATTATTGGTTATTGATAAACTATGGACTATCGATTGGTTATAGATTATTGATTGGTTGTCGGTTATTGGTCATTGGCTGATTATTGGTGATTAATTACTGGTTATTGATTAATTTTTAAGTTTATTTTTCATTGATCTCTGAAATTGAGGCTTAAATTTTATTCATTTTTCTGTGAGAGACCAATATCAGAAACCAATAACTGATCAATGAGTGACTGATAAGCACCAGCCACCAACCAATAGCTAATCAATAATAACTAATCTATAATTGATAACTGATGAACAGTCAATGCCCAACAGCGATAACTAAGAGCTAACCAATAACCGATAGCTAATCAACAACTAAATAATAATCGATAACTAATCAACAACTAGCCAATACCCAATAAGTAAGCAATAAGAACTAAGCAATAAGAACTAACCAATAATCAATAGCTAACCAACAGCTAAACAATGATCAATAACTTGCTAATAACTAATCAATAAGCAATCAATAGCTAATCAATAAACAATAATTTGCCAATAACTAATCAATAACTAACCGATAACTGCTAATCAAAAACCAATCGCTGACCAATAAGGAATAGCTGATCAATAACCAACCAATAACTGACCAATAACCAATAACTAAGCAATGGCTGATCAATAACTCAGTGATCACCAACCCATCACTGATCCATAACTAACCAATCACGGACAAAAAACCAATCACTGATCCATAACGAACTAATCACGGACCAAAAAACAATCACTGACCAATCAGCCATAGCTAATTGATAACCCGATCCAGACACGTCTTCACCGGCGGTCCTGTTATCCACAGTGGTCAGACATGGTCAGACTCGAATGCCCATTTCCTGGGTTCTAGAACCTTCTGCACTGGCCCTGGCCAGAATCTTCTGCTTCTTGGGCTGCTAATTTTACTTCTGTGATAGATGGTACTATGTTTGCTATAACTATATTGGATTTTTTAACATTATTTTTTCAATTCAGTTGAAATGGTCTGTGCTGTCATTTGGTCTATATTAACTTATTTTTATTTTTCCTCCCAAGTCATTCATTTTTTCTTACAGTGATAATAGACTTTTCACAATTGCTTGACTTTTTCAATTATATCTATTACCAGTGTGTGTGTGTGTGTGTGTGTGTGTGTGTATACACACACATATTTATTTGAAGATCAGAATTATACAGAGAGAAGAGAGGCAGAGAGGGAGAAGGAGAGAGAGAGAGGTCCTCCATCAACTGATTGTCTCCAACTGGCTGTGACTGCTGGAGCCAGGAGCCAGGAGCTTCTTCTTGGTCTCCCACATGGGTGCAGGGACCCAAGGACTTGAGCCAACTTCTGTTGCTTTCCCAGGCCATAGCAGAGAGCTGGATCAGAAGTGGAGCAGCTGGGGCTGGTACCATGGCTCAATAGGCTAATCCTCCACCTGTGGTGCCAGCACACTTGGGTTCTAGTCCTGGTCAGGGCACTGGATTCTGTCCTGGTTGCTCCTCTTCCAGTCCAGCTCTCTGCTGTGGCCCTGGAGTGCAGTGGAGGATGGCCCAAGTCTTTGGGCCCTGCACCCACATGGGAGACCAGGAGGAAGCACCTGGCTCCTGGCTTCAGATCAGCGCTGTGTGCTGATTGCAGCAGCTATTGTGGGGTGAACCAGTGGAAAAGGAAGACCTTTCTCTCTGTCTCTCTCTCTCACTGCCCACTCTGCCTGTCAAATAAATAAATAAATAATAATAAATAAAAAAAATAGAAGTGGAGCAGCTGGGACATGAACCAGCGCCCATACGGAATGCAGCACTGTAGGCAGCAGTTTTAACCACTATGCCACAGAATCAGCCCCACCAGTGTATATTTTTAATATCTTAGTCTGAGCCAGCACAACACTATGTGTTTAGCCTGGTTAGCTTTTTTTGAAGGCATCAGCACAAAATCTGTAGGTTTTCTGAAAACTGTCATGTACACAGTTTCTCACAGTCATGTTATTTCATTTAGCAGGTAACATGTTTTATACTTTTTGCATATTTATGAAACTCTCAATTTTGCCTTTGATTTTTAAAACTTCCACGCTATAATCCAAAATATGTAAATCTGTCCTTTCATACATATATTATAGAACATAACATGATCTTTGTATTATTTAAATTTCTGAGATTTTTTCATATTTTTAATATTAATGAAATTGTGAACTATTTATCAATAACTTCTGTTATTGATAAAAAAAACTTTGTTTTTCAAACAATTATTTCCCCTTGCAAATGACTTATTACTTCTCACAGTAATCATATCTTATTTCATAATGTGTATGTCCATTTTTATTTTTGTCAGTAATCACACACATGTTTTTATAACAGATGTATAACCTGTGTATCACTAACATCCTAGTAAGACAGGGGTGATACTATGATCCCATGCCAATCTTGGTTTACATTTTCATTGCTAGTTCATCAGATTGCTCAAAGTTCTGTAAGATCTGGAATACTTCATGTATATACTTCAGAGTCTTGGATCAGTTGTATTCATTCTTCCTTTCCAATTAGCACATTTTACCTTTTCCAGATCTTTACCACTTGTGTATGAAATTTTCTATCATGCATTTTAGACACTGCTATAATTCCTGTACCATTCCATGTAAAATGGAAACATCATGATTTAAGGGACTCCAGTTAAGAATATTTTTAAAAGATTTTCATTCATTTTAGAGGTAGCTTTAGTTACATACAGATAGAGGGAGAGACAGAGATAAAGTTTTTCAATCCACTAGTTCACTTCCCAAATCGCTGTTACAGCTGGAGCAGGGCAAATCCAAAGCCAAGGGCAGAGATTTTCTGGGACTCCCAAGCAGGTTTGGGGCCTAAGTACTTGGCCCATTCTCTCTACTGCATTCCCAGGCCATAGCAGAAGGCTGGATTGGAAGAGGAGCAGCCAGGACATGAACCAGCACACATCTGGAATGCCAATACCACAGGCAGGGCTTAGCCTACTACACCACAGCATCAGGCCCTAAAAAATATGTTAAACTTTGCTGTAATGAACTATTTTTCATCAAATACCTTTATGTTTGCTAATTTCTCTATTATTACTCCACCAAGTTTTTCACTTTTTCTTATAGACTTAGGACAATATTTAATGTACATCTCTCTCTCTCTCTTTCTGGCCAGGAGCCAGAAGCTTCTGCCAGGTCTCCCACATTGTTGCAATGAACCAATGACTTGGGCCATTCGCTGCTACTTTATTAGGGTCAATAGCAGGAATCTGGATTAGAAGTGGAGCACCCAGGAATTCATTTGCTCCCTATACGGGATGCCAGTACCAGTCCTGCAGTTTCTAATTCTGCCCTTACAGTGCACTGCCTACCCTTTTATTTTTTAACTATTAATCCCTAATCAAGTGTGGTACATCATTCCCTATTCCACCTTCATCCAGTCATCCATTAATGAACATGAAGATTGATTCCATATATTAGATATTGTGAATAGAGTGCTATAAAAATCGGGTACAGAAAGCCCTTTCTTATACCAATGTCATTTTGTTTGGGTAAATTCCCAGGAGTGGGATGGCTGTGTTATATGGTACATCTGTAGATTTCTTAGAAATCTTCATATCGTCTATAATGGTTTACATGCCCACCAACAGGGTATTAGAGTCCACTTATTCCCATATCCTCACCAGAATTTTTGATTGTGTGGAAGATAGACATTCTAATCAGGGTGATATGATACATAATTGTGTCTTACTTGCATAACTATCCTGAACATTTCATGAGTCTGTTGGCCTTTTGAATTTCATCTGTTGAAAAATGTCTTTTCATGTCCCTCACCCATTTCTTACCTGTGTTGTTTATTTTGTTGTTGTTGAGTTTCCTGTGCTTCTTATTTATCATGGATGTTAATCTTTCTTCACATGTATGAGTAATAAAAATTTTCTACCACTCTGGCTGTTCTCATTAAAACCATCCTATATGTCTTGAAGTCTGATATTTTGCCTCTGGCTTTGTTTAGTGTTTAAGATTGTTTTAGCTTTTTTTTTTTTTTTTGACAGGCAGAATGGACAGTGTGAGAGAGAGACAGAGAAAGGTCTTCCTTTTGCCG